TCATTGTATGTAAATACAGATCTGAAGTGCATCCATATGTGACAAATATTGCATGGCAGTTCTACATTTTCATTGTATGTAAATACAGATCTGAAGTGCATCCATATGTGACAAATATTGCATGGCAGTTCTACATTTTCATTGTATGTAAATACAGATCTGAAGTGCAGAATTCTTCCTTTACAGCAAAATATTATGTGTATAGAACTGTTTAGTGTAGAGAATGATGACGCACTGTAGCATGAACAAATCTGTGGAATCTCTGTATAGTTATTTATTATGTTTCCCAAATTCTTTTCCCCACCCTCCAGTGGTGGGTTCCAGGGGGTACGGCCCGGTATGGCTGTACCGATAGGAGCAGTTTGGCACAGCCGCCCGCCCGCGCTCCATAGCTGTTTATAACGTGCCTGGCCGGTGCTTGCGTGACCTCCACCGATCAGCTGGGTGTCGCAGGGCAGTGACATGCACATGCTTGTGCCGTGCACGTGCCCGACTAGGACACTCGGCCCTGTGCACAGCGTACTGGCTGCGCCGAGGTCCGGAACCCACCACTGCCACCCTCCTGTTCTTTTGACTTTCACTCTTTTACTAGATCCATCTCTTTGCATTTTGGTTCCCAGCTCTGTTCAAATACAGTTCATAGATTATTCATTCGATCTATTTTGCTACATGATGACCATGTTTAATCTATAGACAGAGAAAGAACAAAAAGTTGCTGCTATTCACATAAAGGCATTAAGTGATAAAGCATAGGTCACTGTGCAATTAAAATCTTCTCTTCCCTCAGTAAAAACAAATTCCTCTATTGCACTTACCCTGCTCTCTTCAAGGCTATCAAAGGGCCCCGGAGGTTCATCCAAACAAAGAAACTCTCTTACTGCAAGGCTTCGAAAGAATGGGAAATAAAAGCAATTGTCAATGAAAATACAGGACAATCTGAAATGCATATTGGGAATATGCTAAATATTGTACAGTAATGCTTTCCCAAATAGGAATTAGCTGAATTATTAAAATTTATAAAGACAGATGCAAACATAATTAGAGACCTGAAAAGGTTTGAATGTAATTTTCTCTCTAGTAAGCATACATGTTATTAAAAAGAGTAAAATATTTTGAAAAGGTGGTTCAAGATAAAAATAAAATAAATAGTTCAGTTGCACATCATTTTCTTTGAATACGGCAAGTCATGTAGAATTGAAATTTAAAATAATCAACATCATTTAAGGTACTGGTATGCTATAAATGGCCTACTTGATATACCACACTTTTTCTTCCTGCCTTTTTGTTCAATTTATGCATTACATTTATACAAAAAAGTTCCATGTAAGTATCAGCAGTTATAGATAAGTATGTCCTCATTTTTTCTCAACACATTGCTACCTAACCCAATTTGTAGAATTATTTATTTTAAGAAGTCTATCCTAAGATTCCAATTAAAGCTCTAAATAGCTGTAGCTACTGCATAAATACTATCAAATGGAAAAAAACCCTCACATTATAAGATAATTATAATTTCATTATATCTATTACAGAAGATATTCAGTGTGTGTGTGTGTGTGTGTGTGTGTGTGTGTGTTAAAAAACCTCAGGGACAAGATCCGGCTAGAAAACCAAGGAGTCTATGAAATACCATGCAAAATCTGTCCAGCCACATACAATGGACAAACTAATAGGAGAATAAATGCACGCATCCCAGAACACAAGAACGCAATCAGAAAAGAAGAAAAAACTTCCTCCCTTTTCCAGCACCTTAAAGCAACAGGACATGAAATTGATTTTGAAGGAACCAAATTACTCTCCAAAACTGAACACTTCAACAAGAGAATAATTATGGAAGCTATCGAAATAGAGAAAAACCCACCCCCAACATAAATAAATGTGATGATACCAATCACCCTCACCAAACATCAATTCCATCAACCAATCAAGAT